GTTGACCCGCGAAACCCGCGAACTAAATGGGTCAGGAATTCTTAACCCTAACCCACCAATAAATGGGTTTAAATGGGTCAGCCCGCGGGTTTCGGCCCATTTTGACGGCTCTACTCATGTAGACCCGTTATAGGATCATCAAATCATATTGGTTCTCCAGCTGCTTCGAGGGTTGATGGCTGGGAGTGGTTTCTTTATCTCTGTTATTGCTTACTGAATGTTATTTTATCAATATAAACCGCCTTTTCCCAAAAAAACCTAGGAACATTATTTATACTAAATCTCACAATTGCAATCATCTTGAATTTTATAAAGAAAAAAATATTCAACCAACACAAATTTATTTGGGTTTCTTGTATAATTATGAAATTTTTGTTATGGAACAAAAATGATTTATAACAAAACTGGGTTAATGTATTCATCCTCATCCATTTTCATCAATTAAATTTGAATTGTTGTATGACTAAATATCATCAATTACATTATTATTATTATTACTATTATTATAGTTATTGTTAATATTATTATTATTATTATCATTATTATTACTAGCTATAATCTCAATTTTTTTATTTTTTGATAACGGTTCCTTAACGGTTCCGTAGACATTTTTTTTTGTAGGAACCAGGAACCGAACCATTAACAAAGCATAAGAACCAAACCGTTAACAATTTATACCTCATGTGTCAGAACCGAACCGGATTTTAACGGTTCGGTTCCAACGGTTCTCCGGTTCTTGATTCCAAAGTCCCACCCCTAGAGACAACTGGGACAGATATAGTGTCTTAAGGCTAAAACAACCGCCATATTTTTACCCCGTGGCATGATGATGCACAAAATTATTCAACGTTCACCCGAATGCCATGATTTTGCATTTCATGTTCTCTTGAGCCTTGGCATGTAATTACAAGCCATGTATAAATAAAATTGGAGTTCAACAACAGGATCATAGATTAAAGCGTGTAAGAAGTGTTATAGCCTAAAGGCCTCCCGACTCAGAAGGTCCAAAATTTTAAAACTATAGTCGATATAATACACAAAATGCTCTTTTACTTGTTTAAAGATTCCGAATCAACCTTAGGCATTTCCAGAGAGAACTCAACAAGTATTTGTAAGAGATTACTCTACAATATTCAGATTCCCCACAAATATATGGGTAATTTGTGTCCCTGCTGTAACAGCCTATCAGGCAGCCGAAAAGTGAAGATAACAATGGTCACTGGCAAATCGCGATCCTAACAACCTTGGATGGAAGGGAGGGTTTACAAGCACACAGGCTGAGATGCTGGTGGGTTTTGCTGTTAGCTTTTGGATGTACAAGTTAACGAAGAGGTACACTTCAAATATAGTTGAGGGATGCAAGTATATGTTTCCCCATCAACTCAAAACTGAGAGGCATACTTGTTGTCCCTTAACCCTAATTCAAACCTTTTATATACATACCAGTGACACCACTTCACAAAAATCAATTGTCACACACAAGAACTTTTTTGTCTATCACATAATTGGTTTTCGTGTATCCGTGCAAAGTACAAGCAAGTAAACTATTGTTTGTGAGCGAACTAGTTTTTTTAAGAAAAAATACATTCCGCTAAAAAGTTTTTATTGATAAAATGGAGATTAGAGAGACAAAAACTCATTCATTTTGAAGTCTGCAGAGCTTTTAGAACCTAATTTGTATGTACATTTAGAATGAATTGGTAACAAAACAGTGAGTGAAACCATTCCAAAAAAGAGCTCAGGATAGTGAAGGACATCATGCTTTGTCTATTGATTCTCACTCTAGAAATTTGAAGGTGTTATTATAGTTTCCCTCAAATAAATAAACTTGTTCAAAATCATCATCAAGGCTCAATATTTTTGGCACAGGAACTTCATCACAAGTAAAATTCATCTAGACAAAACAACATAGATTAATCCAACAGAAGCAACAGCAATGCAAGAATAAGAAACGCCTTGAACACGACAAAACAACAAGTTCAATTGCTTGGCAACCTGAAGAGTAAGAGTCAGAATCTGCAGCCTACCTTGTTCCTCCATCTTCCTGAAGAAGTACATTGGTTTGAGCGACCTTCTCAGCATGAAAGCCATCGAAATCGGAAGCCCAAAGGCCAAGAAGCTCTGCAGGGAAATCTCAGGCATGGGAGAATCCCTAGAGACATACAGAAACCAGGCGCCCAAACCCAGCTGAAACAGGCTGAGAAAACCCAACGCCTTACTCAGACCGTACACACTCTTCATCATCTTCTCAAGAACCTCTCGGGTCTCATTGGCCAGCGCGGATTCGTCTCGTTCGACGGTCGGGCCAGTGATCTCCTGGTGCTTGAACTCATCGGCGCTTTGGGATTTTTCACTGCCGTCGCTGGGCGGCTCTGAAGAAGTTGAAAATCTGACCTTTTGACCGATCGTTGACAGATACAGATCAGAGTGTTTGGGTGTGCGAAGAAAAATTTGGTATTTGCAGTTAGGGTTCCGGTGATGCTGAGCACGAAATTGGGCGATTGATCTGTTGGGTAGGGGATCTGGGTGATTTAGTTTTTCGATCGGTGAAGAGGAATGTAAGAATTGAGTGAGGAAAGGTGAGATTCTTGTGTTTCCCGAGAAACCATCCCGGGCGCAGAGATGGGACAAAGATGAAGAAAAAAGAGGTCTGAAAAATCTACTAGTTTGTCTCTTGGCTAATGTTGAAGCCATGGCTGAAAACATGGAGGTGGATGACAAATGGTGTACCTCCCCAGTTTTGTACAGCCAGTGCTAAGATTGTTCCAAAAGGTTGACTAGCCAACCCGAAGGGCCCCACGTCCGACCCGACATGGCTTTTGAGAGGATGTAAGTCACGGTGACTCAGTCAGTAAAGTGACAGTAGGTCCATACACTGTGATGCAACTTTAGTGGCCTGTTCGGGTTTAGTCATATTTTATTGGGAAATTGAAAACTAATAATCCAATCTTTTAGCGGTCTTCTTTTAATAGTCTCACCTTTTCGTTATTCATGAATAATCCAACCTTTGCACCTCATCTTCATTCATTGGCCCCCGAGCGGTTGATGACCTGTTATTCCGAGTTATTTTCTCATCTCTGCAAACTATTATACCATAAATTCCACCTTTCACAAAGATAATATTTTGCAAAGATAAGAAAATAACTCGGAATAGCATGTCATCAACCGGTCAGGGTCCAGTGAATGAAGATGAGGTGCAAAGATCGGATTATTCATGAATAACGAAAAGGTGGGACTATTAAAAGAAGACTGCTAAAAGGTTGGATTATTAGTTTCCATTTTCCCTATTTTATTCCGTGGATTATAATGAACTTTTCTTTGATTCTTGCAATTTTAAATAAAAAAGTTGTTAGAATATAATTTTAAATAGTCTCTACCATTCATCTCTACTAAGGGGGTGTTTGGTTAGGAGGCTATGAGCCATTTTTTTTTGTTGATTTGACCACCTTTTATCTTTTTGACCAAATAAACAACTACTCCCTCTGTCCCTAAAAGAAGTTCCATTTCGCTTATCGAGGGTCAACTTAAATCACTCTTAAACTCTTACTTTTTATATCAAAATTTTATAAAAGTTGAATTATTTTTTGCAGGCTTTGTAGCGGGTTTAATGTAGTTTCTGAATATGTAAATTTTATTTACTAAAAATAATCCGAGTTTTCACAGGGATCATTTAACTTTATCGTAGGTCAACCTTCATAATTCGCAATTGGAACAACATTTAGGGACGGAGGGAGTAATTCAGGTGTTTGGTTAATCAGCTTTTTTACTTGGCCTTTTGCATCAAACAGCTAAAATTTAAATAGCCAATGAACACAGCGTTTTGGACTTGGCCGCTGGAATATTTATAGCGAATTTCGATTGTGCCCGCATTACCTCCTTTTGTTCCTGTTCGTCACTTCGTTTTCCATTTTGGCCGCATGCTTATTTATAATTCATATTGTAAGAAACTAAGAATATCACCGTTAGAGACAAGGCCTCAAATAATGTACAACTATGGGGCATGCCGGCATGGGCTATCCATCTATCATGAGTTCATGACTACATGATTAAATAAATTATAAATAGGTAAATACGAAGTATATAATATTATAATATAAACTTGAAACCATGAGTTTAATGTTTGGACATGTTTTGCAAAACCATGTGTTGAAAAAATTTATTTTTATTAAAAAAACGGATTTAGTAGCTGTATCAGTAATATTAGCAAAATGTGCTAAACACATACGTGGTATAAAAGTAGTTAGTAAACAAAATAAATTAATTGATGTCCTTAACAGTAATTTAACAATTTATCAGCCGATTGTAAACAGTTGTATAACCAAACACTGTTTTATAAACAGCTAATATTATCAGCTAATCAAAACAGCCAACAGAATCCGCCGGTACCAATTAGCAAACAGAATCGGCCAACAACTAACAGCCAATTGCCAAACACCTCTAAATCAAGTCATATCATATAAAAAATCGGGTGTAAGCATATATATAGGCTCATTGTATAAGAAATATCAAAATTGAGAGGATAACCTGCAAATTAGTTCTCAGATCTACTAGTTACTCCACATGATTATATAAAAAAGTAATAAATACGGAGTATTTGATAGTGAATAATTTTAATTGAAAACACTAAATAAAATAAAATGATATACTTAATAGAAAATTAAAAAATTAACGTTTGAAATTAAATGTAAACTATCATACGATAAAATATGAGATGTATGTCAACAAAACCGTCAAAAGAAACTACAAATTCCTATAAACTTCTTTTTATACAACACATATTTAACATGCACTAGTAGAAAAAAAGTTATTTGCAGCGGTTATTTTCACTTATTTGCTGCGGTTCTTAACCGCAGCAATTGAAGGAGCAGCAATTTGTGAAGTTACACAACCGCAGCAAATACTAATTCATAATTTTTTTAAAATACTTTTTGCGGCGGTTCAATAACAACCGCAGCAAATAGGGCTATGAATTTTAACGAAATGCCTTGCAGCAGTCAACATCTACAACACTGTTTGATTTCAATAAAATTAACGACTGTAACAATATATATAACACTGCCTGCTTTTATTGAAGTTTCAAATGGTCAATTAATCATACTTTACACCAAAACAATACATTCTTTCTACATATTTCATGAACTAACAACAATATGACTTATCTAGTATTACATCCAATACAACAAAATTAATCTTAAATACATTCATTAAGTATGATATTCCAGCGGATGATTTGCATTGGGAAGTACATGGCTCCAGTAGAAAAAAAAAAGTGGATGAATCCAAAACCATATGGAACGTGATCCTTCCCCACCTCTTCTATCTCAGAATCTTTTGAGAACTGAATCTTCAGTTGCAAGAGATGAAAGCGTTAGGTCAGAACAATCATACCGTGAGAAAGACCTAAAAAGTAAAGACTATTACACTAACCTGAAAGCATTTAGAATCAGTTCCCGTAGAAAAAAATGCAACCACAATTGCAAAGACTGCACACAAAAAGATTATCCAAGTGAAAAAGAGAAGAAGCTAATAACAGCAGATTATGGTGCACACTACTTTTCACATATCTAATCTACAAACTCATCTAAGAACATTATATTTCTCAATTTTCTGGTAACTAGAAATGATGAATCGGTCAAAAGCATGGTTCTAAAACTCGCTAGGCGCTAGTCAGGCGGTTGAGGGGCGCCTAGCGCCTAGGCGGCCGACTAGGCCGATTTTTAGGCCGACTAGCCCGATTTTTTGGCCGACTAGGCCGATTCGGCCTCTACGGTTAGGGCCGACTAGGCCGCCTAGGCCGATTAATCGGTCCGCCTAGGCCGATTTTTAGAACAATGGTCAAAAGTATGTAGTCCAACTCATTATGTATCAATTTATACATCTCTTGTTCAAAGTCGGGCCAGTTTATAGTGCTAAATTAGTCTTTACTCATTTGCTTTATATTTTGTTGTTTATTTGTTAGAATGATTTCTGGTCTACTTTTACACTCAGTGAAGCCTAGTATGCAAAGGTTAATGCAAGGAAATTGTTACTAAAGACTGAATTGTTACACTCTATGCAATGATGTGAAATCTAGAGTACTAAATTTTAGTAAAATTATAAATAATTAAATAAACTAAACAATAATAAACTTTAGATACTAATTCAAGTAATACTACGTATTAAACTTCAGAAAGTGACAAAGATTGAAATTTGAAAGGTAACCTCTAATTATGAAGATGCGGCAATGAGCAGGCAAGTCGTGGATATAGTAGCAGCGAGCAACAAGAAACGGCGACGAGCATACATGAGGCGAAGGCGAGCAGCAAGAAGCGGTGGCAAGTGGGCAGGAAGCGGAGGCAAGCAGCACCAAGCGACAGCGAGCTGGCAGGAGTACAAAATAGATGTATACAAAAGCACACAATTAGAAGAACCTAAAATGTTAAAAAGCACACAATCAGAAAAATAGATGTATAAAACACTAGCAAGGTGCTTAAACTTATTGTAAAAAAGGATTTTAAAAGGAACAACGAAAATCTTACACTTTGACTTCCTCACACAAACTGACTGCACCAAGAAATGTGGCCCCATAAAAATGAGCGTGGCAAATAGGAAGTAATGAAAAGGAGGTGCACAAGCATACAAATTTTGAATGTGAGACTTTGACGCTAAAAGACCAAATGGCATCCAACAAGCAGACCCTCTATCACAAACATTCGAAGATTAAAATGATAGTCAATATTGACTTTAATAGTGGGATGCCACTTGTTGGTGGATGTGCGGCTTACTTACAAGCTTTGAGGACGATTTAATTGATTAAAAGCGAGATGTATCAGGTATTAGAATGTTAAAGAAACTATTTGTCAGCTGATATCACAAAATAAAAGTAGAAAGATGTGTTTTGGAAAAGCAACATCTAAAAGCAGATAGGTGCTTTTAGATCAAGGTTGGAAAGGAATAGAAGCACATACATGCAAATCCAGACAAAATACCAGATAGGTGCCCAAGTAACAAGACATTTGGCATAAGAAGCTGCAAAACGCCAAAACCACTAGCAAGATCAATGCAAATATACTGTTTAAAAATTAGCAACTTTAATTAGCAAATATGCAAGTAATTGTATAAAATACATATGTGCATCATACTGTTTTGAAAGACTAACCTGAGGGGTATAGATGGTTAACTAGTGCAAAATCCTCGGATTTCTTTAGTGGAATAATGCAATTGATGCATATTACATTGACGCTTCATGATGGCTCCGTCGAGTAGTGTGTTACGTGCTTTCAATGGCCATAAAATATCCCAAACGAGTTTGAAAATTGAGATCCATGTTTTGTACTTGAAGATGTTGGTTTCCTTTCATCTAAGAACCTTAAAAAGCACCATAAACATGTTCCATTGGCAATGAAACTCTGTAATCAATAGCCAAAGAAAGACAGTAAATTTATAGATTAATTGATAATGAGAAGTATAACTAAAATAAAATCTGTTCATACTTTCATATTGAATAACAAGCCGTCCTGAAAGAAATGCATAATTTTAATTAAAAAATGGCATGTTTGGTAAAACCTAAGGTCTCAATTATTCAAGGGTGAAAAAACCTTAATAATTAATCAATGTCCTAAAACGATAAAAATGAAAAATACAGACTAAAATGATAAATACAGACTCACTAATACTACTAATACCAACACCAAATATCATTACTCCTCTCTAATTAAAATTAACCATACTAACAAATTTTTTACTAAAATGATAAATACAGACTCACTAATTAGTGGAGATAAGAGGAGAGCTAAAAGCTGCTCCTAAGGAGCCAGGAGGCGGACGATTAATGAGAAGCGGCTGCAGACATCGAGCGAGATTTGGAGGCGGTGGCATTCAAGCGAGGGCGGTGGCAGTCTTCAAGCCAGTGGCGGTAGCAGTCTTTGAGCAAGCGGCGGACGCAGACATTGAGCGAGCGGCGGTCGCAGTCGTGATCTATGGTGACGAGTTGCGGCTGGGATTCGGATCGAGCGGTGAAGGCGACGGACGAGCTGTGGTTGTGGCTGGGAGGGATTAAGAAGATGTGAAATCGAGCTGTGTAGAATGGCTAGGGATTTGGATCGATTTGTGTGAAGTCTGCTCGAGGAAGGATTGTGGAGGAGACACCCTATATTATGCTATACGAAGTATACCTGTTGCTGCGGTTCTGCCCGGGCCGCAGCGAATACTTCAAAATTATTACGTATTTGTTGCGGTTTTAAGTTGCCCGTAGCAAATATTTCACAATTATACATTAATTGCTGCGGTTCCTCTCTCAGTGCAGCAAATAATCTAAAATATATCAACTATTTGCTGCGATTCTCTAATGACTGCATCAAATAAGCAGCAACAAATATGAAAAATTCTAGTAGTGATGTACTTGATTGATTGTTCGTGTTTCTCACGTATCACAAACTTCAATCCAGATGAACTTGTTGCTCTCGATACTGCCACATGCATATTGTTCACGTGTAAAACTGGGTGTCTGGGTCGACGTATATTAGGATGAAACCAAAATTTTTCAATGATTGTCTCGACCCTTAGAGCATCTACATTCATGATACTCAACTTTACGGTTTTTTGTGGCTTGTTATTGCCATGTCATTTCCAGATAGGAAAATCTCAAATAATCTTCAAATCAATTAATATCTCATCAATTATGATCTTAATTTACCTAGAGTTTTTATAAGACATACGCTCAATTTCAATATTTCTAATTTAGATTAACTCACATGTACTCTACATTGCACACACTATAATTAATAGAGTATTACGTAGTATATTCCGTATATGACTATCGATGGACAGTTTTTAATGCAATGACAACCAGCTTTAAGAGCATCCACATTCATGATCTTCAATTTAACGGTTTTTCATGGCTTATTATTGTCATGTCACCTCCACATAAGATAATATCAAATAATCTTCAAACCAATAAATTTCTCCTCATTCATTATCTTAATTAACTTGAATGGGAGCATGAGCATGCACGAACTACAAAACAGTCATCACCATAATTATGAGTATATGTCTAGAAGTTGGAAATAATCTCAAAATAATCCAGCTTTAGAATTTGATACCAGATTATTTTATCAAATAATCTCATAAAATAATCTCAACTTCTCATCCATGATCCAAAAAAAACTATCCACATCATCAAAATGATATCAAAAATAATCTATGGATGTGGTCATGTGGATGCCCTTATAAGTTATGGAGTAGTATTTATTATAATAAGTAACGTTTAATGTAAGTTGTCTACGCTGAAAAAGTGAACATAAGCCTAATGTCTACATAATGATTAAGTTCTGCTAAATTATGAAAGGCGTATATTAAAGTTTCATACTATCATTTGTCAAAAGAAAGTTTTATACTACTACACATTAAAAAATTAAGGAACATTTTTACGAAAAATAGTCGAAACCATCATCTACCAATGATAGTGGAAATTTGATATGAGCTAGGAAAGATAAAAAATCCACTCACCAATTTCAATGGGATATAGATTTTCATTGTAAGAAAATCTGACAGTGATAGGTAATCTATTTTAATAGATATACTCCCTCCGTCCCGTAAATGAAAGGAACAAATATACCCCTGAACTTTTAAAAAGGTGCAAAAATATCCATCATATTATTATAAAGGGGCAACTTAATCCTTATTGGCATTAATTTAAAATTTTAAAAAAACACCAAATATAAATAATAAATTCGAAATTAAAAAAAATTAAATATGTAATAGTGTCCAATTCTCCCTTTTATAGTTTTTATATCATAATTTAATATTGTTTAAGTACGAAATATTATTTCAAAATTTTACTATATGTTTAAGATTCTTTCGAAAAGGTGCTAACATATGTTTTGAATGTAAAGAAAAATTAATTTTTTGCATTCTTTGCACTATAAAATTACATATTTTGAAATGATATTTTATACTAAAAATATTAAATTGTGATATAAAAACAATAAAGGGAGAATCGAACACAATTACATTTTTAAAATTTTTGATTTTTAAATTTCAAATTTTTAATTTATTTTTGGTCTTTTTTGAAATTTATTTTATTAATTTAAAGTCAATAAAGACAGATTTGTTCCTTTATAAAAACATGAGGGATATTTTTGCATCTTTTTTAAAGTTTAGGAGTATATTTGTTACGAAGAATAAAACAGGGGTATACTTGTTCTTCCACCTATATTACAGGGGTATATACCTTTTCCCTATTTATGAATGATTAAAGTGTCATAGAATATCTCCACCTCACAATGATATAAACTACTATGTATTAAGAATATAAGTTGCTCTTGCAGATCTGCATTGACCTTACAAAAAAAAAACATTAGATGTTCTTTTAGATATCACAGAAAACATTACTCCCTATAAGATTCACAAATAACACATAATAATCATCCTAATGTCTAAACATAACATGTAAACACAAACACCACATATGAAAACATTACATGAATCCTAACTTTTTTCCAATCATTTCGACCCAGTTTTGGAGATGTTCTGGGTCGATTTTCATCCAAGCTTCCCGGTAAAGGTCATTTGGGTCACAAAGAATTGCAAGTGCAACCCTATATAATGGCTCATCTTCTTCCCATCCAAGCATTTTGAGTTTATTGATGCAATCATCAAATGTAGGTGGTGCAACTTTTGTAGGTGCTACAAAATTCCCTTGTTTTGCGACAACAGCAGGAATAACATATAAAATCCTTAAAGGGTAGTGCAACCAAGTAATTAAAACCAGCGCAACGAGACAACAACAAATTGCCATTCTGATACAAATTGCGTCTCGGGTTTCATTGGCCTGCGCGGATTCGCTTCGGTCGAATCTGGGTTCATAGATCTCCACGCGCTTTGTCTCATCGCCGCTTAGAGTTTTTCCGCCGCCGCCGCTTGGCAGCTCAGCCTGCTCTGAAGAACTTGAGAATACGGCCCTTTGGTTGTTCGTTAACAGAGACAGTCCACTGAGATCCGATCGTTTGGGTTTAAGAAGAAATTTTTGGTGTATACTGCTAGGGTTCCGGCGGGGTAGGGTGGGGAGATGAGAGCTAAATTTGGCGCAAAATCTGTAAGTAAAGGAATCTGGGAAACTGAGTTTTTGGATGGGTGAAGAGGGAGGAGACTTGACTGAGTTTGAATCGACGAATTGGGTGAGGATAGGCGAGGTTCTCGTGTTCCCTGAAACACCATTCCTGGTGCAGAGACGAGGCAAAGATGAAGAAAGAAGAGGTCCCAAAAACCCAGAGGCCTGTCTCCTAGCGAAACGTGAAGCCATGATATTGACTGGTAGTATAGAACAAAAGGAAACAATTTAATCGAAAACAATTCTGATTCTTATTCCTCTCCCAAGCTTTCGATTATATAGAATTTTACATCCTTTCAGATCCAGGAGACTTTGGGTCCTAACAACAAACAAATTAGGCTCAGTCATATAAAAAAGAGTTGCATTATTAATAATCTGTAATGTAATAATTAAAGCTTCCATGCCAGCTCAGCATCGTGCGTATGCAAATCTTCGTATGCCAACATTTCCAGTAGCATAAGATTTCAGAGAGTAGAGAAAGCTTCCTAAATCAGATGGTAGTTAATCCCTGAACTGGAAAGCTTTTATTATCCGGTCAAGGCAGTTATTATCCGGTCAAGGCAGCTCCTGATAGCCAAATTCGAACTTCTTTTGTCCACATAGCCATTATTAACTTTGATGTGATATTTCTTTAGAAAAAAACTTTGAATTGATATATGACGCAAAATCTCAGCTTGAAGTGAACAAGAAATGGCGCACCTTCGCCGGCTTTGTATTGCCGCCACGGCAACGAAAAGGGCGTGCCTCACCTTCCAAGAACTCGGGGTTATATCACACAAAGAGGGTTGCGAATAGGGATACATGTTTTTTGTGCACATCATTTTATCCGTCGATCAAGTTTTTGGAGCACAGACAATTTCATTTTGTTTTATGAATGAATTATTTTTGGAATCGATAATTTTTCACAACAACAAATTTATCGGTGGAAAATCAATCTCTTCACAAAATGAAAGGGTTTTTTTTTGTGCTTAGACAATTGGGTTGATGTGTACAATGACGTGTACAGAAAACGTGTACAAGAAACATGAATTATCAATTGAAAGTAGTTTTATTTATGGATTTGAGATTGGTCAAGAGACATATTATGTTATAGGGTTTTGTTCTTGATGAGTTAATTGCATGATTCTTATTTAATTGTTATAGCTTCTAAACCAAGTATTCCAGCCCAACTGGTTGTGAGGTTACTATGCCTAGTGGGAGGTCTTGAGTTCGAAACCCGCTAGGCACGTAAGGGTTACGCGCATTTCTAATCCATTTGGAGGTGTCGTTCACCATTCTTCTCTAGGGTTACGTGCCGGGGTCTGAAAATTTTAATTTGTGATGAGGATGAAGGCACCACGAACATCACTCAAAATGTTGTTTTCAAGGAAGTGTTCAACAACGTGTGGGGTTATATTATAATCGTTTATGTAATTTTATTGTCTTTATTAAATTCTTTAATATTTTCCAACGTTTTACCAATACTTGATCCTGTTGGGGTCTATCACGTAGGGGGTGATAATTTGAGTACTTGGATTGCTTAAGGATCGTGTAAGTTCACTTTCCGAATTGATATTTCTCCCCTATGCCTGGGTTACAAGAAATTCAATCTAGGATAATCCTTAAGGACACTCTAGAACTTAGGCACAAGAACTAGAGCCAAACTAGTGAGTATATGGATTGCTATCTTTAATTTAAGTGCCAAAGTGATGAAGATATGTTGGATATGATTCCTCTACCTCCTCTGTACGAAATATGGTGGTATATATCCATATTCATCGTCCTAGGCAGTAGTCACACGATCAAAACTAACCGCAGCAGTTTTTGGGAAACTGCTGGAAACTGCCTAACCGTTCTAGAACTCGGTCTAGAACCACAGAGCTGGTCTACTGAAAGTTATACCTCGAGTTCTACCTCGAGTTCCACTAACGTAGACACTTTGGAACTAAACTAGTTCTTATATACAAGTGTGCACTCCACACCTACTAACTTGTATTAGATCATAGTTCTAATTCCCATTGGCACTCATGTCATTTCCAATTGCACAAAATGGCCGGTGACACTAAAATCACCAACAATCCTCCCCCATTTTAGTGTAACCCATGAAATGACATAACAAAGCTTACAAACCAAAACTTGCACATAAATGGAAATGTCGATACGATTGAATTTCCATCTTAGTATTTTACACATTCAAAATATTCGAGAATCGGGGTGTCCTACGGATTGAACCCTTCAACCCATTTGAATACCTCAAGATAAAATACATACAAGTTTCAATACTCAACTAGAATACAAACTTGACACAATTATAAAGCCGTGTGTCCTAATCCCATTCATGACCGTATAAAAGCCAAGTCCCAAGCTTTTTGATGTGCGGCTACACTTCACGATCATATAGGTAATTCCTTTACTCGTGTACCTGCTTACACTTTATCAAAGGAATTATTAAGAAATAAATTCAGCCTCCCTACTACAGGTCCGAACACACACCTTGGGATGATTTTCATTGTGTGTTCCAATCCATTAAGTGTGAGCTTTCCGCATTGAATTCAGCCTCTAACGTTGTATTAGAGGGGAATTGGGTGTCTCGCCATTAAGGATTAAATGGACTTTAAACCCATCCCTATAACAGACTTGTGCACTAAGTCCTGGGCCAAACTTTTGGTCAAGTGGTCCGCCAAGTTATGTTGCGATCTTACAAATTCCACCGAAATTACACCATTCATGATTAGTTCTCTAATCATACTATGTCTAACACCTAAGTGTCTAGACTTGCCGTTATAAACATGACTATACGCCTTAGCCAAAGTGGCAGCACTATCACAATGGATAGAAATAGGTGCAATCGGCTTCCCCCACAATGGAATCTCAAAAATTAAATTTCTTAACCACTCCGCCTCTTTACCGGCGGTAGCCAACGCAACAAACTCAGATTCCATTGTTGAACTTGTGATACAAGTTTGCTTCTTGGATGCCCAAGAAATGGCACCTCCCCCAAGCAAAAATACCCAACCACTTGTAGAAGAGTGATCCTCTACATTGGATATCCAACTTGCATCCGAGTATCCTTCTAATACCGAAGGATACTCAAAGTAACACAAACCATAATCCATGGTTCCCTTTAAATACTTGAACACTCTCTTCATTGCTTGCCAATGTTGAGTACTAGGATTACTAGTAAACCGGCTCAACCTACCCACGGCATAAGCAATATCCGGCCGAGTGCTTGTCATGGCATACATTAAACTACCAATAGCTTGAGAGTACTCAAGTTGTGATACCGCCTTTCCTTTATTAGGCATCAACTTCACACTAGGATCCATGGGAGTACCAACGGGTGAACAATCACTATAATTAAACCTTTTGAGAATATTCTCAACATAGTGAGCTTGTGTCAAAGCAATCCCTTTGTTTACCCGTTTAATCCTTATACCAAGGATCACATCCGCCTCCCCCATGTCCTTCATGGAAAACCTTGATGATAACAACCTTTTGGTTTCATCAACCTGATTTTGGTCCGTTCCAAAAATCAGCATGTCATCAACATAGAGACATATGATCACACCCGCTCCGAATGCATCAAATCGGCTATAGACACACTTGTCCGATTGGTTTAAACTAAAACCATTGGACAAAATAACTTCATCAAACTTTTGATGCCATTGTTTGGGTGCTTGTTTCAGCCCATACAATGATTTAACAAGTTTACAAACCTTATGCTCATGTCCCGGCATAACAAAACCTTCCGGTTGTTTCATGTAAACTTCCTCATCAAGATCACCATTTAAAAATGCCGTCTTGACATCCATCTGATGTATAATCAGATTGTGTATAGCCGCCAAAGCAATTAACAACCTAATGGTTGTAATTCGAGCAACCGGCGCATACGTGTCAAAATAGTCAATTCCGGGTTTTTGTCTAAAACCTTGAATGACCAACCGAGCCTTGAACCTGTCAACAGTTCCATCCACTTTCATCTTCCTTTTGAAGATCCATTTGCAACCTAAGGGTTTAGAACCCGGTGGCAAATCCGACAACACCCAAGTGTTGTTCTCCATAATTGATGACATTTCATCATCAATTGCCTCCTTCCAAAAGGCAACATCTCAGGATTCCATTGCCTCTTTAAAGGTCTTTGGATCATCCTCAACTTGGTAACAATATGAATATTGTACCCCCGTTTCATCTCTTGAACCTTCCACTAAATACAAGTGAAAATCGGGACCAAAGTCTTTCACGATGCGGCCTCGTTTGCTTTTCTTTATTTGTGGTGCTTCGGGATTCAAAACACCATCCAAACATTCTGGAACTTGCACCTCACTAGTGCCTGGAACTAGGTCCTTTGGTCTTTGAATTGATGAAAATCTCATCTCATCAAAGATCACATCCCGAGACTCAATCACGGTGTTAACCGCTACCGCATCATTAGGTTCTATTACATAAAACCTATAAGCCTTGGAATGTTCAGCATACCCTATGAATATGCAATCAATTCCCCTTTCCCCCAAAGTTTTCCTTTTGGGCTCGGGCAATTTTACAACCGCCCTACAACCCCAAACCCGAAAATATTTCAAATTCGGCGCTTTCTTGTACCAAAGCTCATATGGGGTTGTCTTGTTCCTTTTATTTGGAACCCTATTTAGAACATAGCAGGCCGTGAGCATGGCCTCTCCCCAAAACCCTTCACTCAAACCCGAGTAGGAAAGCATGGAATTAACCATTTCCTTTAACACTCGATTTTTCCGTTCGGCCACACCATTTTGTTGTGGTGTATACGGAGCCGTGGTCTCATGAATGATTCCAACAGATTGAAAATAATGGGGATCCATATATTCTCCTCCCCGATCAGTCCTAAGACATTTAATTGCATTACCCAATTGCAATTCAACCTCGGTTTTATACACTTTAAATTTCTCTAAAGCTTCATCCTTGGTGTGTAATAAATACACATAACAAAACCGAGTCGAATCATCAATAAAAGTAACAACATACTTTTTATTGCCAAGGGAAGGAGTTGAGTGAAAGTCACATAGATCACTATGTACAAGATCCAAAATAGCCGAATTCCTTTCAACATTAGGAAACGGTTGTTTTGTGATCTTAGTAAGCATGCAAGTCCTACACTTATCATCATTAATACCAAAAGCAGGAATTAAACCATCTTTAGACATTTCATGCATTTTTCTAAAATTAATGTGAGCTAGTCTAGCATGCCAAATCATACAATTATTCATGGAAGATGTCACAAAAACAGAATTATCACTAGGAATTAATTTATTCACAACATTTAAACGAAACATGCGATTTGATAAATATCCAAAACCAACAAACACACCACCCTTGGACAGAATATATTTATCGGATTCAATCACTTGTTTGAACCCTAAATTATTCAACATACTTCCCGAAACAAGATTCTTTCGAACCTTCGGTACATACAAAACATCAAACAACGTAATTGTTTTCCCAGAAGTAAATTCTAAAACAACTACACCCTTTCCCAAGATAGGCACCATTGACTCGTCTCCCATGCGTAATAAGGAACCGACCTCCACTGGTTCTAGGTCTTCAAACCATCCTTTATCCTTACACACATGGCTCGTAGCCCCCGAGTCAATCCACCATGCACAGTCATCATCCTGTACATAAAAAGATTCTGGAATGAGTGATACATAATTCTGGACAGAATTATCAAAGTTAGTCAGGAACTGACCTCCTTTCCGTGGAACCAGGTCCTTAGACCGTTCCTGTCCACTGCCACTCGTTCCAGCGCCATTCTTGTTCAGTTTCACACGGCAATCACGCTTGACATGTCCAACCTTTTGACACCTCCAACAAACCAAACCTTTCGGTTTCTTGTTGGGTTTGTCATGGTCTTCATACTTGCGCTTTTTGCCTTTCCCCTTATCTTTCGGGTTAGATTTATTATCCTCAACCAAGTGAACATGAGCCATTCTAGATTCAACTTCACCCATAATTTGGTCATTCTCTTGCACACGAAGATTCTCCTCAATGCGCAAGTGACTCCCAAGTTGAACCAAGGACAGTTCATCATCTTGATGTTTCAAAGAACGTTTAAAATCCTTCCAAGAGGGTGGAAGTTTGTCAATTATACTCGACACGGCATATGACTCATCAACACCTATCTTGTGGAGTTTAAATTGACCAAGAACACGAAGGAGTTCATTGTATTGTTCCATAACCGGCCTTGAGTCAACCATTTTATAATTATTAAAATCACTCACCAAGAACTTCTTACTAGAAGCATCCTCGGCGATGTATTTTGACTCAAGAGAATTCCACAATTCCTTCGCACTCTCAACGTTTTGGTAAATATCAAATAACGCATCGGACATACCGTTAAGGATGTGGCCTCTACATATGTAGTCATCGTTCTCCCACTTGTTGCGCCTCCTAGTTTGTTCCAAGGTTTCATCTTCCATCACCTCCGGCATGGGAGTGCTCAACACGTACACAACCTTCAACGTGGTGAGAAGAAAGTGCATCTTCTTCTGCCATCTACGGAAATCGTTCCCTTGAAACTTGTCCAATTTGTTGAACTTGGATGTCATCTCTTCCACGGTACTCATGATTATCACAAAAGGAATATCAATTCGATTGTTGGGGTCTATCACGTAGGGGGTGATAATTTGAGTACTTGGATTGCTTAAGGATCGTGTAAGTTCACTTTCCGAATTGATATTTCTCCCCTATGCCTGGGTTACAAGAAATTCAATCTAGGATAATCCTTAAGGACACTCTAGAACTTAGGCACAAGAACTAGAGCCAAACTAGTGAGTATATGGATTGCTATCTTTAATTTAAGTGCCAAAGTGATGAAGATATGTTGGATATGATTCCTCTACCTCCTCTGTACGAAATATGGTGGTATATATCCATATTCATCGTCCTAGGCAGTAGTCACACGATCAAAACTAACCGCAGCAGTTTTTGGGAAACTGCTGGAAACTGCCTAACCGTTCTAGAACTCGGTCTAGAACCACAGAGCTGGTCTACTGAAAGTTATACCTCGAGTTCTACCTCGAGTTCCACTAACGTAGACACTTTGGAACTAAACTAGTTCTTATATACAAGTGTGCACTCCACACCTACTAACTTGTATTAGATCATAGTTCTAATTCCCATTGGCACTCATGTCATTTCCAATTACACAAAATGGCCGGTGACACTAAAATCACCAACAGATCCTCTATTTGAAATGGTAATATAATATGTGCCCAACTACGTTAACATATACAAGTATTTATCGTCCATCTTAAATTTCTGTAGATAATATATATTTCATGCTGGCTTATACAAAGTTATGTGTAACAATTGGGTCCATTTAATTATTCCCAGCAATGATTTAAAAAAAATTATAAACCGTGTATCGCACTTGTGATTTACTAGTTGAAATAAATGCTCAAACTGTCCGGGACACTGTCCCAATGCTATATCACCTGCATACAGCATACTCTGTAGGTTATATAAACAGGTTCATTAGAGTTGAATCGTCATCACACTTTCACAAAAACACTGTAAAAACATCATTGCTTGGCGTTGTTAATCGAGAATCGATGAACTAGAGAGGGGCGAACCAGACTTGCTGAAACGAGCAAGTAAAGATGAGACAAGGGTGTGCAAAAGAAGTTTTTGAATTCAATGTAATATTTAATCGTTCATATCCAATTGACCAACTAAAACCCATTTATGATGTTTTTACTTGGACTGGAATTGTGTGGTCTGATGTAGCAAATGTCTGATATCTGTGTATTTTATAATTGTTCAAGTCTGGTCTGGTCTAGAACTGAAAACAGTCAAAGTAAAAACATTCTTCGTCCCCACACACAATAAAGTCATTTAAAATCATCATTAATACTCGACAAGTATTAGCCGTGAAATGTAGAATTTATTTTGAAGAACATTAGCTTTATCCCAAGTAGAATTTATGAGGGTGGGCACAATCCGGGGCGGATTAGAATTTGGCTTATCCTGATCCCGACCCGGTTTATAATAACGGTCCAGTATGGCTTCAGACCGGGACAACGAACTCAAGAAAAACTGGCGCAGTTCGAGACATCCCAAAAAATCTGCAGTTATCAAATGTGATAAAAAAAACAAGCACAACATTAAAATAGGATGTAAATAATTTTGGAAATTTAGCTTACTTAAAAGGCTAAACAAACCCTTCAATTTCCCTTAAACATGCATGTACCACTCACATTGCCTATATTTCAAGAACATCATTAAAACAAGATAAGAGACTAAGAGAGACATGAAATAAAATAAAACTGCGTACACTAGGATATAAACTTTTAATTGGGCTTGACTATTATATAGCATTAAAAATTTAAAATAACCTACTAATTTCAAACGTCACACCGGGATGTGACATTGTATTTTATACTAGTACTATCTAGTTGTCCTAGTCCCATCCCGGTGGATATCGATATGGGACCGATTCAAGATGAGAAAAAAATGCATTCTAAATGAAACATGATAGTTTCAGAACGGTACCAGGAATTTTTCCGGTTTGGAACACCGGAACCGGGATTTTTGTCCATAAATTCAATTTATTTAATGAAAACAAGATAGACCAAACCAACAGAAGCAACAACAATGCAAGAAAGAAAACAAACATGGAGGCGAGAAAAGAACAAGTTCATTTGCATGGCAATCTCTATGCTCATAGTCGTAGTATGCAGCCTCCCCAGCGCCTCCATTCTCTGGAACAACAGTATTGGTTCCAGCGACCTTATCATCACGAAAGCCATTTGAACCGAGAGCCCAGAGGCCAAGAAGGTCGGCAGCAAAATATCAGGCATGAAAGAACACCCCGAGCCAATCATAAACCAACCACCCAAACCCATCGGAATGACGCAGAGAAAACTCATTGCCTTACTCAGTGAAGCGATACTCTTCATCATCTTCTCAACAACCTCTCGGGTCTCGGCCAGCTCGGATTCGTCTCGGTCGAAGGTGGTCCCACAGATCTCCGGGCTCTTTGACTCGTCGCTGGTCTGGCATTTCTCACAGCTGCATCTTGACTGCCCCGAAGAACTTGAGAATACGACCCTTTGGCCGTTCGTTGACAGAAGCAGATCACTGAGATCAGAGCTTTTGGGTTTCAGAAGAAATTTTTGGTATATATTGGGATAGGAGCTAAATTGGGGGCCAAATCTGTTAGTAAAGGAATCTGGGAAGTTGAGTTTTTGGATGGGTGAAGAGGGTGGAGACTTGACTGAGTCGGAATCGACGAATTGGGTGAGGAGAGGTGAGATTCTGGTGCTTCCCGGAACTCCATTCCTGGTGGAGAGATGAGGCAGAGATGAAGAAAGAAGAGGTCCTAAAAACCTGGTGGTCTGTCTCTTGGCAAAACTTGCAGCCATGATATTGACTGATATAACTGATTTTCAGTAGTATCAATGAAAGAACTGAAGGTAAAATTTCAGAGGGAAGATGAAAGCTTGGTAGGTCAAAATGAATCTCAGAGCGGGGTTCTGGAGAAAGCTTTGTAAAAAAAATATACAGCTTGTTTTGCATGACTCAAAACCTGCCAGTTTTGTAAAGCCAGGGAAATGAAAAAGTGTGTGCTTTACCTGCCACGAACTAACGGATATCTCACACACGTTAAGTGTGTTGGTTGACTTGGTTCCCAGAATCCCAGTAGTACAACTTTATTAGAAATTATTAAGAGGACATCTTTTTATTAATTTTCAAGTTGATATGAGCATATTATACGGAGTAGCTAGTACTCCTATTAATCTATTATACTCCCTATTTCGAATTATCTAGTGTTTAGAATTTCCTGAATTTAGAAAAACAATTGTATTGAGAAAAACAATTTAAATGTGGATAGGAACGGACGTATATCGGTATACACATTCAGATTTTAAAAAGACTGGGAATTCCAACTAATAGATGTAATAAGGAGTAGTATTCAATTGAGATTTTTTTTTTTAATTACAAAATGATGAATATAAATCTAGAGGTGGTCAATTAAGATGAAGCATGTGAAATTTGGAAATATATCAATGTCAATTGTAGATTTTAAAACCCATAATAATAGAAATATGCATTCTTCATTGTTTTCTCCTCTCATGAACACTTTGGCGATAATATGAGCTAGTAGATTTAATATGAGCTAGGAAAAATCAAGAATTAACGCCCCAATTTCGTAGGAGAAGTAGATTTTCGTTGTAAGATAATCACAACAATGAGTATGACCAAGTAGGCTCTACATGATCCAAAGAATACAACATTTATCGTTTGATTGTGCCTATCAAAAGTTGTATGCCTTTACAACCGAAGGCTTCTGCCATCTTGATTGATTAAAATCGAGAGTAAGGGTAGTTTCTCTTGATTCACAAACTGATGAACCTCTCTTGTTTCCTTCATCTTTCTGGAAACTCTTCAATACGTGGCCAGGCCATATGGATGCCGATTTGGAATAGGGCGTATTAGATACTAAGGGCATACTAGGAATTAAAGAGAATGTAAATTATTACGGAAACTTTGTGGCTTTACATAGCAAATATGGGAGTGCATATAGAAAACAAGCATAACATTAAAATAAGACGTAAATAATTTTGGAAATTTAGCTTACTTAAAAGGTTAAACAAATCCTACAATTTCCCGTAAACAATACTACGTATGTATCACTCACATTGCCTATATTTCAAGAATTAAAACAAGAGTGGAGACTAAGAGAGACATGAAATAAAATAAAACTACACTAGGATATAAACTTTTAATTGGGCTTGACTATTGTATAGCATTAAAAATTTAAAATAACCTACTAAATTCAAACGAGACACCAGAACGTGACATGATATTTTATACTAGTACTGTCTAGTTGTCTGTTGAACGTGTTGTTTTGTTGATGACTAACCATGCAGGAACAATAGATAGACCTGGTCCTTAAAATATATGCCACTAACCTTGCAGAAACCAGGACTAGAACCGCTCTCGGTTCTATTCGAGACCTTTATTTAAATGATCATTTGAAATCTATGATCTTCCATGTTCTGTGATGTTATTCGATTATGGCCTGCATAGAATTATTACCTTTTGGGATCCGTAGCATATTTTGGCCGTACAAACGGTAACACTAATGAATAGGTTATTCAAATAAATTGAATCCACTCCTAAAAGGGTAAGAAATCTTTATAGCTTCCTTTTACAAAATGTTGACTAAAAGCTTCCTTTGGGAAAATGCTTCCGTATTTAAAGATATGTCCGTTGCTTATATTCCTTATATGAGAATTCGTAGACCATAAGCAGATCCTCTCTCAATCGAGACTAAGTTGGAAAGATCCATTCGAAGGAAAGAAATTCAAGATTACAAAGGAAAGAAGGGCCAACGGATGTCACTCCTACAAGCTATATATTCGACAGCAGGCCAAAAAAGAAAGGTGGAGGAAAACCGAGAAAAATATACTTAGAAGAATCATTCAAGAAGAAATCAAGTCCTTGGCGCCTGAAACAGCCCGCTCGGAGTTCTAGATAGAGTTTCTCTTTTCCCTTTCATATTGTACTTAGAATATTGAGGCTTAATTGGCTAGAGTAGCTGCCTCGGGTTAAGTGTGTGTGAGAGCTTTGTGAAAAAGCTGAGAGGCTCTCTACCCGCAAGGTAGAGATGCATAACTCTTCCTAGAGAGGATAGAGTTGGGGAGGCTCAAGGGTAGATTAGGAGAATCACTCTTGTAACTCTTTCAAAGGCTTGTTTAGTGAAGTTGTTTAAAATTCCTCCGAGGGAGGTCGAGGTTTTTTAATCCCTTTGAGCCAAGGGATTTTTCCTCGTTAAATTCTTGTGCACTTTACTATTTAGCTATTCCCTTTATCCCACACTAGAACTCGGTGAAAAACTGCCACGGTTCCACACACACACAATTCACCCCCCCTCTTGTGTTGCTAACCGTTTTCATCAATTGGTATCAGAGCCGGTCTTCACCACATAGAGGCTAATACCTTGGGAAGAGATCCGGCAAAATGAACACGGTTGACCGATTGGAAGAAGGGTACTCGACTCAACGACCACCATTGTTCAATGGCAAATACTATCAATTTTGGAAGAGTCGGATGGAAAACTTTATCAAGGCCGATAACTACCAGGTTTGGAATGTAATTGAAAGTGGTGATAATGCCATCACAAAGAGAAACGCCGAAGGTAATGTTGTTCCTAAACCTAAAGTTGAATATACTTCTGAAGATTATGAGAAACTCGAGCATAATGCACAAGCCCTTAAATATCTAATTTGCGGTCTTGGTCCTGCCGAACACAATCGGGTTCTAGGATGCAAGACTGCCAAACAAATGTGGGATTTGCTCGAGGTCACTCATGAGGGAACCTCACGTGTAAAAAAATCTAAGATTGACATATTCATGCGTAATTACGAATTATTCGTAATGAAGCCAAAAGAGTCAATTAAGGATATGATTACACGCTTTACTAACATTATCAATGAGCTTTCAGCCCTTGGAAGAGAAATTACCGTGGAAGATCAAGTGAGAAAGATTTTGAGAAGTCTGCCCCAAGTGTGGAAGCCTAAGACCACGGCTATAGAAGAAGCAAAGGATCTATCCACCATGACGCTTGAAGACTTAACTGGATCACTCTTGACATATGAACTAGGTCTTCAAGAAGAACAAGATGCCGAGAGTGCTAGACGAGAAAGAGGAATAGCTCTAAAGGCTCGAGAAGAAGAAGAGGAATCCGAGAGTGAATCGGATGATGAGATGAGCATGTTTGCGAAACAATTTGGAAGGATGTACCGAAAGTTCAAGAACAACCGTGCCAAACAAGGTAAAAGAAATACTCAATCCTTTAATAACCAATGTTGTTTTGTTTGTGGTTCCTTTGAGCACAGGGCTAGGGACTGCCCAAAAAAGAAAAATGAGAAAACCTACGACAAGAACAAGTCCAGTTCCAACCGGAGGTTCAGTGAAGACAAAGGCTTCAATAGAGATCTCAAGAAGGCAATGATGGCCGCATGGGGAGACTCATCCGATGATGATGAAGAAGAAAATGATAAGAACTCCAATCATGCGGGTCTATGTCTTATGGCACTCTCCGACGAGGAATCCGACCAAGAAAGCTTTGAGGTAAACTTTGAAAATTTTCTATCCAAGTTTGACTCTCTATCCAAAACCAAAACTCGGAAGATTTTCAAAAGATTGACTATTGAGCTTAATGAAAGCCTTTCCGAAAACGATCAACTTAAATCACGTGTCACTGAGCTTGAGTCTAAACTCGAGGAAGCCACGAGAGCCAAAATAAGGCTTGAAACAAAAGTGGGAGAGTTAATAGATGAAAGGCTTAAGTACAGTGAAGTGGTTCTAGAACAAGATCAAATTATTTGCTCTCTTAAGCTCGATAGTATGAACAAACAAGTTGATCATGATGAAAAGCTTCTCTCAAAAATACCGAGTGTTGGTTGTTTAATTGATCATCTTCATCGTCTTGTTGCCGAGTGCACTGATTTTAAAAATAGACCGGAATATCAATCCTATAGTGCAACGAACAAAACCAGGTCTAGACATCATTCTGGAACTGGTCCTTCTCAGCACAATAAGAAAGTAAACGAGACTGCAGGTCTCGGATATGTTCCAAAGGATATTCGAGCTAATCAAAAATCAAATTTTCAGAACCAACCCTTTAAGGATAATAGAACCCAAGGACAATCCAGTTCTAGACCATATCAACAGCCACCTAGAACTGGACCAAACTGGTTCGATAGACTGGTTCAGAGGCACAAAAACGGTTATGGACAAACGCCTAACCGAACTTTTTACAAAAGAACAAGAGGCTTTCACGGTAAATGGAAACCTAAATACGTTGATACTTATGATAACCGAGTTTGCATGCATTGTGGCAAAATCGGTCATCTCCGGTATCAATGTCACTCTCGGCAAGAGACCCTAGATAGATGCTATGATTATGTTAGATTTTCCTCAAATAAATACAAAATGGAACCCAAGCAGGTCTGGGTTCCACGCACTAAACCTTAACCCTGGAACAGCGCCGAGTGAGGGGGAACAATCACTGGTTCCTTGACAGTGGTTGTTCTAAGCACATGACGGGAGACAAATCTTTGTTCCTCTCACTTCGGCCATTTAACGGTGGAAAGGTGACATTCGGAGACAACGGCAAAGGAGAGATCATAGCCGTGGGCAAAGTTGGAAAGTCACCTAGCCATGCTATTGATAATGTATTTTTAGTCAAAGGCTTGAAATTTAATTTACTAAGTATTTCTCAATTTTGCGATCGAGGTAATAGTGTTGTTTTTGATCATAACGTTTGTCGCATTGTTAGTAACAAATCACAACAAGTTATACTTGAAGGCAAGAGGCTCGAAAATACATATAAAGTAGATCTTGATTCATTGCCTAATATTAGTATGACTTGTTTGAGTGTTATTGATAATGATCCTTTGCTATGGCATAAAAGGCTTGGACACGCTAGTTTTTCACTAATAAATAAACTTAAAAATAATGATTTAGTCAGTGGACTGCCCAATATGAAATTTTCACTTGACCATGT